AGGAGGAGGGGGAGGAGGAGGAGGAGAACGAGGAGCTGCGCTACGATTATTACGTCTGGTCGGGACGGTGTCACTGACCCCAGCGTGTTCACAGCAATGGACGCGACTGGGACACGTTGATGTAAACGCATACGGTTTTGAGCAAGTTACGCGGATTCCAACTGTCAGTTTGTTTCACTTGTGTGGAGGTATTACAATACAGGGACAAAAATTACACTTAGAGAATTAGCAATAGCCTGAGGGGAAAGTTACTTAATCTGTGTACCTTTACTTATGTGTCAGAAAATGTTTATCTTTAGTCGTGGATAAAACATGTTTCCTTAGTGCGATTGTTGAGCTTTTTTCCTCTTCTTCTCCTCCTCTTCAAACCGATTTTTTGCTAAGAGCTCATCGAATGCCGAATTTACAAAAGGCGATTTAAAGAGGATTCGTGTTTGTTAGCTGATGCCCAGCTCAAGGTTAGAGGACATTTTGAGTGATATGACTTCAGACGATTTTATTCATTAACACAATGCTACCACTGCGGAAGAGCTCCCATGGATCTTGTTCGTTTTGTATTTTCTTACTTGTCTATATTAGAAAATAGTAAGCAGTCTGCTATTTGATATTTTTGTACCTCAGATTCATTTTCGTTTGTACTCCCAGGACTAAATTTACATAATCCGGCTAAAAGTTGATCGGCAAGATGGTCAGCAAGACCACTGGTTGTGGGCAGTGGAAGTCGTCATTTATTGCAGGTGGGCAAGTGGAGATGCTGAAGTATTAGAGGTAGTTGGCCTAACCAACATGTGCAGAAATGACTCGGAACATCTTGACTCCGTCAAACTATGCAGTCCACAAAGGGAGTTCTACGAAGACAAGGCCGAACACCACGTAGATAATACAAAAGTCGAACTGCTTAATGGCCCACTGGGAAACTGCATGGGTGACATTTATGACGTCAGCGAACTTCAGACTAACGGAAATGGGAAGTCCAACGACCAGTTCAACAATGAAGCATATTCGTGGGGTAATAAAAAAAACCACGGAGAACTGCCAACTATATTTTTCAAAGAAGGTGTTGTTCTGCAGAGTTCCTGGTCGGCACTTCGTCAGCAGGATGACATTTGCTGCCCTATACTGCCCTGAGGAGCCGGTACTGCCTACATTAGTTCATTGTTCTGCACACCTCACTCGTAATTCTCCAGTAAGAGGAGAGCTCAATTCAAAACAAGTTCTTCGGGGAGAGCAGCCAGGTAGTCAACAAAAATACTCGAAATAACGATAGATGGAATGGATACGTATGCCAGTAAAGCAGGAGTGTTAAAACGCTGGTGAATTTGTTAAACAACAGTTGGCACTCTCTTACCCCTCGCATATACATAGTACTTGCCGCAACTTCTTTGTTATCCCCTCATTTCAGGGGAAATACATGGCTAAACTGTGATCCAAAGTGCGCGTTGGCGATTTGAAAAATGTTGCACTGTAAGGTGGGTAGCCAGGACCTGTCTTGATTTCCCCATCCGCCAATCAGTCTGATCAAAATTCCGACAAGTGTTTGACACCCTTCGTCCTTCGTACCTGTCTCAACCCTTAGTGTTGTAAAGCAGTTTTGCAGTTCCAAGTAAATGTACTTGAAGAAACACCTGATTAGAATCAGGTGGTATTTTCACCTAGGCTTTACTTGAATCGTTGACTTTTGGCGCCCTTAAGCCTGACACCCTCATCACCATACTCGTAATCATTGTTCATGCCAGGTTCTCCTATTGCGCGTGGCAGAGGCCACAACCGTGAGGAAGTTTTCTGGTTCGAATAGCTGTGTACCGTTCGACTGCGGTACTGCTGCACAGTTATTGCAGAGAATGAGACAGACGTTGTTGTTGCTATTCTGAGATAAACCGTAGCTATATAATGGGGACTCGTTGTCGAGTCCTGGGACGGATACCATGATTCGGACGTTGTGTCGGTACCACTGCTGCTGCTGCTGCTGCTGCTGCTGCTGCTGCTGCTGCTGCTGCTGCTGCTGCTGCTGCTGCTGCTGCTGCTGCTG